AACGAATTAAGTCGTACTATTAATGCCATAATCATACTCGTGATTAACAAATCAACCTCCCGCTACGCGGTCGGTTGATTTTGTAATCACTCGTATGATTATGGCATTAATAGCACTCCTATTCGTTCTATTACCATCATTAATAATTGTACTGCAGTACAATTAATGATTTTCTCAAAACGAACAAAATGGCGGAAAGGTATTTTGAACGCAAATGTGAAATGAAATTGCCCTTGAGGAACTAGATGAAAATACGAACAAAAGCTCCAAATTTTGCTTTAACAAAAGAACTAAATGAAAATATGAACGAAAGCACCAAATTTTGGTTGAAGGTCTGGCAGGACTGGGCTTTGGCAAGAGAATATGATGTTGACGGAGAAGTATTATAAAATACAATTTTGTCATATGTTAATAATAAACAAGTAATCATGCGATGTTGCTCGTACAATTAGGGATAAATAGTACTCGTGACGTTTGGAAATTTGCCAAATTGGACTTGCCCCAGTGGCTCGTCCAATTTTGGCAAAATGTCCATACATCACTCGTACTATTAATCCGTAATTGTACTCGCCATCGCATGATTACCTATACTAATAATTATGTCTTGTCTATTACTTGACGCGTACAGTACCTTTGGAGGTTTATTAAATATCAGGTGACGATAAGCTTGAATTTTATGTAGAATGATGTCCAGAAATACTAGAACTGTATCAAACTCTACATACTTGTCAACTCTTTGCTGGCAAAATTTCTGAAAAGAAAATATAAATTAACAAGATTATGCACTCTTTTTCTTGACATTGGTCAGGAACATTCCACTACCCATATAAAAAAATCCAATTATTCTAGAATTCCAATTGGAATTGGAATTCGAATTGGAATTTGGGCCAATTTCCAATTGTTCGAAGTTAAATGAATGAACAACTTTATTTAAAGAGGGTAAAAACACATGAAAAACCTGTTGCCCTCATAATGGATTCCAAAATGGATTTTAAAAAATCATCATGGATTCCAAATGGATTCCAAGAGGAAAATTTAAATTGCTTAATTGGAATTCCAATTGGAATAAAACAAGGTTTTATAATAATTGTAATAAATTTACAACTTCATGACATGTTTGACTTCACATTATATTAGTTATAAATTAGAAAGTGTGAAAGAAAAGCAGACTACCCCAACAATGAAAACAAAACATTAGAGATAGCAGAAAAAAGGGGATTGATTGGACAACTGGAACCACAGGATTTTTTTTGTTAGACCTCGAGATATGCCACTAATAATGGTAATTAATTGAGATTAACAACATTTTCTTTTTGTATATATAATATTTGGAACTAAAATCCATGAATTAAATGAATACTGTTTTTAAAACATGGTGTGTACATAAGTATTCTTCAAGTACTGTATATATTTGGTAACCATTCCAAATGAGAACTGGTAGTACAGTGCAGTGCACAGAACTTCAAAGATCTCTAGCATGGAGTATGTTACAATACAGATTGGCATAGTGGTGTGAGATCTACTGGCATATTGGCTTGTGTATTTTCCAGAAAGCTATTGTTTGAAGGATACCGTACACAACTACCTGCATGAAAACATTATAAGCTGAACTTTGATGGTTCAAGTTAATGCCCTTCATTCACTTCAGACGTCAAAGTTTTGCTTATATTTCCAGGTAGTTATATATATCCTTCATATGACTGCTTTATGTTATCGTCTCTACTTACAATTATGGAACCAACCAGCATTAAATGTATTTTTCAGGTATACTGATCTTTTTCACAATTTAAACATTTACTGTATTTATGAATGTAAAAATAAGGGGAGTGGGAGTCAGAAATTGTGCAGTTTTAGCATCTGCCTATTGTTTAAATGACATTATTTCTATTTCACATTATATGAAATCTCTGATGTAAAGTGTACAGTTATAGTCTTTACTCTGTACGTATACAACAAGCAAACCATGTGCAGACTGAGATTTTTACATCTTCTGTACAACATTTTAAATTTTAGTCTTGTTTGAAAAAACTTTAAAGCTATGTATGAAATCTTGTTGCAGATTTTTGCAGAACTCTTGAAATATTTTAACTGGATGTAATTAGTTTTCTGACAACTTGGATTAACACATTGAGTGCCAGGGGTCTCCCTTGACAAGTAAAAGTCTGGTGTTAGATGCAAATCATACAATAAAATAATAAAGTAGGGTGCATTTAGGGCCGCAATGCATCTTAATGATTCATTCTTAACCTCATTAACAACGGTCTTAGTGATGTCAGGAGTGGCGTTAGCCTTGCATATATACTTCCATGTGAATAAAATTTGTTAATTATAACCCCGGCCCACTTGTGATGTCACCAGGGACGCCGGAACGATAATAAGGCAAAGGGGGGCGGACGCAAACCAAGGGCACCTCTATAGAGCAAAATTACAAAATTTACTGGAAAATTTTTTTTCAATCGAAAATTTTGGGTGCCCCCCCGTCGCCAAAAAAATTCGGGCAGTGTACCATTTTAGGGGTCAAAAATTTTTCCGCACATACCAAAAGTCAAATATTAACTATGAATTGCCTGAATCTCATGATTTTCGTACAAAAAGCATCGTTGGAAATGTGATTTATCACGTAGTATTTTACAACTAAAAGGGCACTTCTGCCCCCCCCTAGCAAAGGGCAAGGGGGGCAGCCGCCCCCCCTGCCCCCAGTTCCGGCAACCCTGGATGTCACATGCACATCCCGATTCCAGGGTGCATTCCATGCAAACCCTATGCCAAAGATATGCCGATATTAACTATAGATAGTATTGTAATGTGCCAAACTCATACCAAAGATTTTGGTGTATTGCACTTAGAATGCACCCTGGTCCTGATTGACTGAAAAACAGTGAATTGTACGTGTGCTATTTTGGATTTTATACTGAGGATATTATCTTCAGTAATCGAAGATTAGATAGTTCACTCTTTCAGTTAAAATACTTCAAGAATCAAGCAAGATATGAAAAAGCTGTAAAATATGTCATGATTAATAATTTCCAAAGTTCTTTCGTCTCAAACGTCTCAAGGTCTCAACCTCACACCGTCTTTTGTGAACAATGGTGTTTTCAAATGTGTTTATATCATCACTGAGTAGTGAGTATCCCAAGGAAATTGTTGCACTTACACAAATACAAAGTTTAAAGCTTCCACCTTTGAATTCTTTGTATACTTCATCAGATTTCAGGCCACATTCGACACAAACAAAATCATTTTGAATTCTAGTAGCCGTCATGTTGCAAATACTTTATACATCATTAAACTTGGTTTTACATGACGTACCGTCAAACGTTTGTTTGCCTCCTCATAAAAATAGGTACGCAGCGTACATATCTGATACGTTTTGTGTCGTATTGAACGTTCCACAAATTTTCACCGATGTTTGTGGTGTTACTCAGAATGTGCATCCACACTGGGCAAGCTGAAAAGTAACATATCTTAGAATACATTGATATCGAAGGAACTAGACTCAGTTCCGAAATATCACCAACTCAAACCGGCTTGACCGCGTAGCTCAGTTTGTACCGTAGAGCATTGGACTAGCAGGGGCGGCGCTGCAGGGGGTTAGGTGGAACACCCCCACTCGTCAACAAATCGGCAAATTATTATCTCAGTCGGCAACACTGGATTGGCTAAAGATAACCACTGAAGAAACGTACCAAAATTGACTTCCTGAATAGTTGAATTCAAACCGAATATCAACTAAATTTGTTTGGTTGTTGTTGTACAGTTGTTGTTGCTCATTATATTGTTCTATAAAAGAGGCAATAAAGCGGTACGTTTTCCACTAGTGAATTTTTTCGCACGATGCGACCTTTTCCTTTGTCGGTATCACTTATTACGTCAGCAAGACGTGGCAAAATCAGTCCTCGAAAACGAGGTCGGCAAATTTTTGCCGACCTCAACTGAACCAAAGTCAGGGCTTTCAGAATTATTCTGAGTTGGTGTTTGGTTCGATAAAGTATAGGCGGCTGTTGGGAGGGGGCAGTCTGTAGAGTGTCAAAATTCTACAGGCTGTCGTGCATGATAAACGTGGCTAAACAATTCAATTTCTACATACGACAAAAGAACAGTTATTTAGCTTTTCAATGATACTGCATTTTTAAATCGTAACGATTGGAAATGGCCACATACTCGTTAAATACAAATTGCCGGTCGAAATCACATGCAGCGACGTTGGGAATTGCATGGAAAATGAAACATAGACAATTCCGAAGAGGGAATTAAACTTGAATGTTAAGTTTTCTGAAAATGAGCTTAACTCGTCAATCTTCGTCTTAGTGACACAACACGAACGTGGTTCAATTAAATATGGTTCAATTAACCACTGAACAGAGGACATTCGTAGTAATCAAAACGTTTTACGAAACAAAAACCTTGCAGCAGGCTCGCGTTGCTTTTGGATTGATTAACTTTGTATAATTAATGAATTTCAATTCCCAAGACTCCCAACGGTGGAATAATGTGATTTCGACAGACAATTTTTATTTGACAAATATGTGGCCAATTCTCCAGTATCGTTTTAAGAAGGGTATCATAAAAAAGCTAAATAGCAGCTCTTTCGTCCGATGTAAAGATTGAATTGTTTAGTTCAGTTTATGATGCACGACAGTCGACAGCGGACAGCAAGTTGAATTTCCATAACGGCTTTTTTGCGACACCCTGTACATCTACTGTATAGGGCACAGTCTAAGGAGTCTTAAAGTCATCCAAATTAACTAGTGTATATTGATCAGATAGCAACACAACTGAACTCTGTAACCAAATTATAATGTATCACATAGGCGTTCCGGGCGGGGGGGGGGGCTGTAGCCCCCCAGTTTTTTGGGCAGTTGGGCAATATTCGATTAACAGTCGGGCAATTTTTTCCAAAAACCACTACATCGGCCATAAAATTGACTGAATTTTCGACAAAATTAACAGAATTTGTCCCATTTATTTCTATAAGAAACCAAAATTGCCCGATTGTTAATCGAATATTGCCCGACTGCCCAAAAAACTGGGTGGGGG